GCCTGCTAGGCCTGCTGTTAGCCGCAAGCAGGGGGCTCATACTGTCAGCTGTGACCATCAACCACCAATCCGCTCGGGCACCCGAGGCTACCCTGGTACACCTTCTTTCTGGTTGTCGTGGGGGCCTGTCCACAGCATGAAATTAACCACACACCCTTCTGACCGAGGCAAGGTGGCACTAAAGTATGATCGAGACGAAGTGCCAGCTTCTGGCCAAGCTCATCCTCTGCTCCTGCCCCGCTGGTCCCACCCAGGATCTGCCCTGCAGCCCAGCCTCACGGCTCTGCTTCTGGTAAATGAGAGGTGAGGGCCAGCCGCGGGCTGGAAATGGCTTACAGATGGTAGGTGGGCCAAAGGCAGCTAAAAATGAGCCAGATCGGGGGTCATTTAAAGGCTCAGTACGTTGAAAGCCCTGAGCTGGCCTGGCCCAGCCCAGCCACAGCTGACCAAGCAACAGCCAGGCAGGAAACACTGGGCTTTTTCAGGCTGGACAACAGTCTTTTTAAGTGGAAATGTCAATCGGCTTTGAGAAGAACTCAGTCCTCGGAGAGAGGCCAGGGCTTTCCCTGACCAACAGCCTCGGCTGCACATGAGCTGACCCAACGGGGAGACCCGCTCCTACGTGGCGTTAGGAACTCGGGGGGCCTTGAGGAGACCCCCAAATGGAGCGGAAGAGGCTTTGGCCTAGGAGGAGGTGCGATTCCTTCCTTCTCTCCCTCCCCATGAGCCAGTGAATGGATAAACCAAGGGTGGTCTGTCCTGATAGTGGGATATGATTAGGTCATAAGAGAGAAAGAAGCCCTGACACAGCTACAACATGAACCTCGAAAACCTTGTGTATGCCAAGTGAGAGAAGCCAGACACCATAGGTCACATATCATGTGACTCCATTTACATGGGACATCAAGAAGGGATAAACCCGTAGACGCAGAAAGTAGGTTGATGGCTGCCAGGAGCTGGGGGAGATGGAAAGAGGGAGAAACTGCCTAACGGGTGTGGGGTTTTCCTCTGGGGTGAGGGGAAGGTTTTGGAACCGGATGGAGGTGGTGCTTTACAACACTGTGAAGGTGCTAAATGCCACTGAAGTGATCACTTTAAATAAAAACGTTAATTTTATGTAATTTCACCTCAATAAAGTATTTCAGAACCGAAACGAGACCCACCAGAGTGGGCAAGACTGAACTCCGGCGGGACCAGCTGGAGCTGCCGATCAGAGAAGGAGGGATGTGGGCAGAGGAGGGGCGGGGGGAACTCGGGACGTGCGATGATTTCGGAAGGGTGGCATCCCCTGAATATGGAGGAAAACGATGAGATGCCCCCGCTTCTGCAGGACCGGCTTGATGGTGGGAATCGCCAGCATCCGGAGCACAAAGGCCCCCGGAAGCTTCTGCAAGAAGAGGAATGAGCCGTCTGTGTGTCGAGCTCGTGGTGCCTGGGGCCCTCCCGGGGTCGGGGAGGCGGGCTGCTCATGGGAGCAGCTTCCACCAAGTGAGTCAGAGGGAGGGCTGCTAACATCTACCTGGAAAGACAGGCCAACCGTGTCCTGTCTTCCGGAACCAGCCCTCCCTCCCCACCCCGCTTCGCTTCCGGGCTGAGCCCCGAGGTCAGAGCGGCTGCCGTCAGTTCAGCGGGCGGCAGACGGGGGTGTGTGTGTGTTTCTGGGCCGGTGGGGTCATAGAGGCTGGGGCTTCCTGTGGCTGGCAGTGGTGCTGTGTTCGTGTCAAAGGCACGGCCAGGATCCTCCCAGCTCAGCCAAGCCGCCCTCGGGTTCGCCGGATTTGCCTCCAGCCATCTCTCTTTTGGGGCAGAATCCGGCCATTTGGGCATTAGGAGCCCCTCCTATCCTGATCGGGGCAGAAACAGCGGAGGGCCCACATCAATATGCCCGGGGATTGCTGCGTGCTCAGCCGGCCAGGCTGGGGGCCCCCCGGCCTCACGAGGGTCAGGAGGGGAACTTATCCTGCTGTTGATAAACCTCGGAAAAGCCAAAGAGCCCCTCTAGGAGCCAGGCCGGGTTCATGGGCATCTGGAAGCTGTTAGCCTTCTTTCCAGGCTCCGCCGATGCCCTTGGCGGTGGGAACGCTGTCCTCGGGATGCAGAAGTGGGCCCGAGGAGAGGCCGTCTCCGCAGGAGAGGGGACAGGGGCCAGAGCACGGTGGGAACGCCACGCTTGGTGGCCAGAGGGTCAGCTGAGGAGGCAGATCTCGCTTGGGTCCTGTCTGATGTGCACACATGGAGAGGATGGGCAGCTGTTCCGGAACCTTCCACGTGGTGCACCAGGCCTCATCATAGGCCTTCCCCCCAGACCCCAGGCTTCATTTCCTCGTACGCCCCTAGCCTTCCCCACTAGGGAAGGGCTGTGGCCTTTGTCTGGATGCTCATCAGCCCCCTTCCCTCCCCACCTCCCCACACCCCTCAGAGCTCATGGAAACATTCCCTGTCTCCCTAAACTGGGTTGGAGCCCAGTATAGGCTCTTGGAGCCCCTGGTTAAACAATGAATCACAGGTCTGTCTCCTGGTTGTCGGCCCAGGCAGGCCAGGGGTGTGTCTGGCTGCTGACATCTGTCCATGCCTTGTACACGGTGGAAACTCAGGAGAGGATTTGTTGAATAAACGGATGGATCATTGGAAACCCCTGATAAAGGGTTTTTCTTGACTGCATTTGGTTTCTCCTATTGTAAACATGTTCACAGACATGTGGCTGATGGAATTCCTAACTTTACTTGTGATGTTTTGAGGGAAAAGGAAGTAGAAGCAAGAAGCAGCTACTTGTCAATGTTTTTTTTTTTCTTTTTTTTTGCGGTACGCGGGCCTCTCACCGCTGCGGCCCCTCCCATCGCGGAGCACAGGCTCCGGACGCGCAGGCTCAGCGGCCATGGCTCACGGGCCCAGCCGCTCCGCGGCATGTGGGATCCTCCCGGACCAGGGCACGAACCCGCGTCCCCTGCATCGGCAGGCGGGCTCCCAACCACTGCGCCACCAGGGAAGCCCTACTTGTCAATGTTGAAGCGACTGAAAGTCGCAGGGGCACACTTCACAGCTCTTCAGCTGCCCCTAAACCTTCAGAGGCTTGTACCCTGCACGGGCAGAGCTGCCCTTTGGACTGGGTCCGGGAGGTGGGGTCGGGGTGGAGGGCTGAAGGGTCCTACAGCATTCCAAAGAACTCTTTCCTGAGGTCTTGGGCTCCCACCTGTGCTCTGGGAACTGTGGTACAGGATTCCGCGTGCCTAGGTTTTCTTCAAGACAGCCGGGGTTGAAAACAGGGGTGTGCATCAAAATGCAGATACCTGGGCCTGGCCAATTCAGGAGGTCTGGTTTGGGACCCTCAACGTGGAGGGGCTTGAGGAGCTCGGGATGATGGCATGGCCTGTTGCCTCTCTAGGGAGGGCCCCCAAAGCTGGAGCCCAGGGATAGGGAACTTCCGTGAACTACAGCTGATTTGGACGTCCCCTCCCCTCCCCCACCTTGGTGACTTTGCGGGGATGAAGATAATTGGGGATCAGGGTGGCCCTGGTTAGCATTTAGATAAGCAGAATGGTCTGACTCAGCAGCAGCCTCTCCGAAAGCCAGGTCTGGAAAATTTACACAAGGGGAAAAAAAAAAATGGAAACAAGCAAACATGAAGAGAGAGGGGAAAAATGTTTTTTTAAAGAGGCTGGAACTAATTTGGGGGTTAAACCCAGCTGCCCACACAGATTCATTTCAGCTTTTCCAGTGTTATCCTATATGATTTATTTCCTGCTAAAGCATTTGACCACTATTGTGTAAACGGTTTCCATTTATCCTGGAAAGGCATCTTTTCCTGCTTTGGGGAGGTCCGACCAGGCCCCAGCTAAATCGGAACAACCACCACCAGTTTTGATTTGGAAAAAACAGAACCCACAAAAAAACAGAAGAGTAAAATAAATGCTGAGTCCAGAAGGAATCTTCAGACAACCCGGAATGAGTCACCCAGGGCACCTCTGGCCCTTGGAAAGATCTAGGTTTGAGTCCTGCTATGTGTCCTTGGGCAAATTACTTAACCTTTCTGAGCCCCGCTTTCCTCATCTATACAATGGTGACAGTAGTTGGACCACCTCACAGGGAGGTTGTGAGCATGGCCCATCACAAATACTTAAAAATGGTAGCCATTACTATTCTTATAAAATGGAAACACTGTGAATAGTAAAGGACTTTTTCTCTCTACGCATAAGATATGAGTTCATACTGCAAAGTCTCCAAAGGGAACTGATAGCTCCAGGATTCCACTTTTGGACAGGAAGGTCACTTGTTATGGAGGAAACAGGTGAGGTTCAAGAAAGGCCAAGGGATTCCTTTGTTCAAGGCTCACAGTCAGCTAAAGGCAGGGCTGTCTTCTGAATCTAAGAGTCCTTTCATCTGAAAGAAAAGGGACCCTCCTTTTGAAAGAAATGGTTTGCCAACCCCTCACCTGAGTCATTCTTTCATCACCACGACCAAAGGAAAATCTTAAGCCAATGCTGTGAAGCTAGTTAGAGGAAAAAAGAACTTTCCAGGAACTGATACGGAAGCAGGATGGAACGCAGGTGTTGGGAAAGGGGCTTCCGGAAATGAGTGAGAGAGGGTTTTTTGTGTGTGCCGGGGTCTGGGGCAGTCTGGAAGGGGGCTTGGATTTTGCCCTGAGTGTGTGGATGGGGGCTGCAGGAGGGCAGGGCGGCTCGCCACCTTGCACAGCTCCAGAGCAGCCACCGTTCTGTGGGTTGCGACGTGAGGGGAACCCCCTGACTTTGGCCCAGGAAGTCTACACTGGCCCACAGCTGCCGGCTGGACCAAGGGCCCCACAGGTCAGAGCACAGGGAAGGGCCACTTCCATCCGGTGAGTTCATCAGCAAATCTGGGCTCCCCGTGGAAAGAGGAAGAGAGAGGCCAGGGGCTGGAGGCCAAGGGAATGATTCAAGGTCAGCACTGCAGAGCCAAGTGAGGGACAGACGGAACAAGGGCAGGCCGGGGCCAGCAGCCCCACGCAGCCCCTGGGTTCCCACCAAGCCGGCGGCAGGCCAGGGTCAGCACAGGGATGCTGACCGGGCCTTGGGGAGCCCAGGGGTTCCTGGCAGTGACCCAGGCTGCGGCCGAGGACACAGACCATTCATTCTTGCCTGTGACCTTGGCTGCCTCCTGTCGGGAGGGGCAGGTGACGGGTCGGCAGGGGAGGTGGCCACGGCAGGGCAGCTGGGATGACCTAAGAGTCTGGGAGGTACCCTGTGTTTCGGCCTTTCAGCTGTGACGTCCATTCTGACTCAAAGCCAGGCTTAGCACAGGCCGGAGGGGCCTCAGGATGGAGACACCCCCGCAAATTCCAAGAACCTTGCATGCAAGTCAGGGCGACTATAGGTCCACCCCATATTCTAATGAATATCTATGAATCCCCTCTGCCTTGTGTTTTACACTGAGTTCTCTGGACGCAGGGCCTGAGACAAGGATTTGGTACAAATAGCATGTTGGGGAGGTGCTCCCAGGAAGCACAAGTGAGAAGGTGCCGGAGGGAGGCGGGCAGGGGGAAGATGATAAAGAGAGCGGTCCTGAGCGGGCAGCCTGCTGGGGACCCCACGACTTGGGGCGTGGCACTGAGTTGTCCCATGGGAGGGGAAGGACCTGGGGTTTATATATCATCCTCGTCATTCCCTGCTTGAGGGCTGCTCCCTGGACGTTACTTCCTCTGCAAGGTGACCACCTGCCCCAGTCTGCCTGGGACTGAGGGTTTTCTGGGCTCTGGGGCTTTCAGTGCTAAAGCCAGACACGAGTGGGTCACCCTACTCTCTGGCCCTTCTGGGGAACCCTGCTGCACCCCGAGCTTGCTCCTGTGGCCAGAGAAAGCCCTTGGTTAGGGCACTGCAGGTAAGAAGCCGTTGGCATGAATCACGATGGCGAGTTCAGAGGGGACACGGGCAGAGGACATCTAGCATTTATCTGCTACACCAGGCCAGTCACCCCCGTAAATCTATGACTGCCACACCTCCCCACATCCTTCCTGCTGTCTTCCCTTACCCACCAGCCACAACACGCCGACCAGCCGCGACGTTCCGCCAACGCTCCCGGCACCTCTGACCTCAGGGCCTTTGCACTGGCTGCTCCCTTTGCCTGGAAATCTTTTCCCCAGACACACCCATAGTAAAATGTAACCTCCATGAGGGAAGTTTGTTAGGTACGATCAGTGCAGTGTTCCTACTGCACAGAACGGTGCCTGGCACTTAGTAAACACCTACCCACTAATAAATGAACAAAAATGATCTAAATAACAGGAAGTAGAATGAATGGCATCAAAGGCACCTGGAGATGAGACTCCAGGCCTTTCCACCCATGGAGATCGCTTCCTCCGAAGGAAATTGGGGAAATGTCGTAGACGCCCGAGAGACTGCGGGGGTTCCTGATACTTGCCTTTGGCTGCCAGCACTGCTGCCTTGTGCCCTGTGAGCCCAGCAATCCCCGCAGTTGTCATCAGAGGAGGCTTGGACCAAACCCAGGACTTTCAGACTGCTTCACTTTAGAAAATTAGTCTAGGCAGAACCCCATCAAATAAAACTAAAAATGTGGCTTTGCCTTCATTAAAGGGTGAGGGACCTAGGCCCTTGGACAACCCTAGGGATTCAGGGGACAGCTTGATATCCACTCACTTGGAGCGGGAGGGGTCTCAGCACGGACATGTACAAAATCTGAAGAGCTGAGACCAGAGCTTTGCAAACAGCAGCTGCACACCCATCCGCTGCGGGTCGTGTTAAATGCAGAGTCCGAAGCGTAAGGTTTGGGCTGGAGCCAGGGCCTCTGCATTTCTAACAAGCTCCCAGGTGATGCTGAGGCCGCTGGTCCATGGCCAGGGCTTTGAGCCAGCACATTTGGGAAAGTGTCCCCTCTCTGCCCAAGATGGGAAGAATTTAGTAACCTTGCCTGCAGCTTCTAACAGCTCAGCAGGGGTGAGGTCTAGGAGAGAGCCCTTGGAGTCCTCAGCAGTGGGCAGAACAAGGCAGCCTCTCAGATAAACAGGCCCATGTGTCTGAGTCAGGGTACTGTGTACGCTGCTGTGACAAAGAGGCCCCCTAATACGCTGGTTTAAACAATATAAGATATTATTTCTCTCACAGTCCAGAGGGAGGTGACTGCTAGGAGGGCACTTTTCTGAGCTTCAACACATAGTTTTTATCTCTGGATCCAAAGTGGTTGCTCCAGCCCCTGCCATCGTGTCTACATCCCAGATAGTGGGAAGAGGGAAGAGGCAAAGGGAGCCCATGCCCATTCTTTTTAAGGGTGCAGTCTGGCAGTGGCACATAATGCTTCTGCTCACATTCTGTTAGCCAGACAGAGTCACGCGATCATTCCTAGCTGCTGAGGAGGCTGGGAAATGAAGTCTTAAGCCCAATGAAGGCTGAAGCGTTCTACCGTTAAAGGAAGAAAGGGGACGGATATTGGTGACATCTATAGGAAGAGAAGTTGTTACATTAAAACCCTAGACTTGAAGTTGTGTGAATGGTATTCGAACAGCCTCATTAGGCAGAGGCTGCCTGCCCCAACTATGCGCGTACAGAGTGTGTGGTCAGTGGTATAGTGGCCCCCAAAGATGTGCACGCTCCAACCCCCAGAACCTGTGACTATGTGACCTTATACGACAAAGGGGCCTTTGCAGGTGTGATTAAGGACCTGGAGATGGGGAGATTATCTTGGGTTATCCCATGGGCCCAGTGTCATCACAAGGGTCCTCGTAAGACTGAAGCAGGAGGGTCTGAGTCAGAGAAAGGAGATGTGAGGACAGAAGCAGAGGCTGGAGGGATGAGCAATGAGGATGGAGGAGGGGGCCACTAGCCAAGGGATGCGGGCGCCTCTAGAATCTGGAAAAGGCCCGGAATCAGATTCCCCCACCCTGGAGTGTCCAGAAAAAGCAGCCCCGCCCACACCCTGATTTTTACTGTAAGACTCATTTCAGACTTCCGGCCTCCAGAACGGTTAAGAGAATACATTTACGTGGTTTTAAGGTGTCGGGTCTGCGACAGTTTGCTAACAGCAGCCGTAGGAGACTGCTAGGGAGAAACAGCCCCGCAGCTCACCGGGGTCCTTCTGGTTTGCGTCCACAGGGCCCTGGGCTCTTTATTGCTACCGCTCTTAGACCAGGCCTTCAGTGGCCTCAAGAGGCCTCTTTCTGGAGGCATTCTCTACCAAGCACAGACTTAGCTTCCGCTGCCCAATGACAATCATATGCAACCCGGAGAAATCGCGGGCCCCATGGTTGCTCAGCAAGTCCTCAAAGAACCCGTCAGCCTCTGCCTCGCAACTACCAGGGAACTTTGAGAGAGCATTCGAGTGCGTCCAATCCAGCGGTCGTTGCAATAGCGCTAGATACACCTTTTCTTTCCTCCCTGTTCTCTAACAGAGTGGCCGGTCTCACTGAGCCCCCCAGGCCAGGCTCCGTCTCCCCGACTCCCAGTGTCTGCTCTCACCCAGGCCTCAGCAACCCCACCGTCCAGCGGTACCACAGCTCCTGGCCCCCACTCACTGAGGAGCCCTCTATCCTCTCTGACTCCACAACCACGGTTCTCTCGTACTCTGCCTCTTCCTTGAGGATTCCTGATGATTTCTACAAATAAGCAACCTTTTTACAAATAAGTGCTATTCACCGAGGGTTTCTTGCGTGCCGGGCACTCTGCCCAACACTCGCTGGCCTACATGACCTTTAAACTTCAGGACCATCCTTCAGAATAAGGGTGGGTGTTATTACGCACGCTTAGCCCCTGCTGCAGGAAGGAAATGGGTGGAGAGGTCCGGTGCTTTGCCAAGGTCACCTTACTGGGAGGCAGAGGAGCGTGGGCTGGACCCCGGCCTGGCCGGGTGCAGTCTCCAGCCGCTCCACCGCCTGCAGAGGACCATGTGCTCCGCCAGCCGGAACAGCTTGTCCATGTTTGCTTCCAGAAGGGTGGCCCTCGGGGTCCCCTAAGGCCACGGCTCTCTTCCCATTGGGAAAGAGCTGGCACTGTGGGTCGGCAGCTGGGCGGGGGGCAGAGGGACTCTGTGGCCAGGAGTGATGACTCAGCACGCACACAGCCCGGCCCGGGTTCTTCTCTGCCAGAGGACATGTGACCCCTTGCTCTGGCCGGGCGGCTTTGCCGAAACAGCATCCTTTCAAGGAGCCGTACAGGCCACAGAGGGGCCGCGGACGGCACCGCACTCGCCCTCTCTCACCATCTTGGAAACCTGGGAGAAGCTGAGGAGAAGCAGGCTGGCTGGGAGCCCAGAGCTCAGAGACTCAGTTTCTCATCTGTAAAATGGAGCAATAGCCTGTTTCCTGTGCCCAGGCGCCGGGGAAGACCCAGTGAGATCGTGGAAGAGGAATTATTTTGGAAACTCACTCACTCCCTTAAACACTTCGGTAGAAAGCCTGTGACGGGCTGGGCTGGGGAACGGGACATGCAAGGGGGACCATCCCGTGAGCCCTGCCCTCCAGGTATCGTCAGTGTGGCCAAGAAGCAAAGAGGCCACCAGACCATCATAGACGGGCCTAGGAACCTGAGAGTGCCAGAACATTCCGGAAGGTTCCGACATCAGGAAGGGAGCTGCAGCTGGAAGGATGAGCGGGCAGTTAGCAGTCTGACTCTGGGGGAAGAACAATCCTGGAGGCATGAGGCAGTCCGAACACGAACTCACCCCGAGACTCTGGGCCCTCCGATCCCCACTGGTCATTGAGGAAGCTCCTCAAATGACCAGTGAGGATGTGAGGCCCGGGAGGGAGTGACTTGTCCAAGGGCACACAGCTGGCACCTGGTGGAACCTTCCCATGACAGCCTGTGCAAAGGCCCTGGGGTGTAGGGGACTTGGGAGAAGTGATAAGTTTGTACTGGGGGTAGGGGCAGGCTCCGAGACCTTAGGGCCACCCCCAGCCCTGAAACTGAAGTCGTGAGATGGTGATGGGAAGGTGTGGGGCGATCTGAGCCAGAGGGGAGACTGCGGACAGAATCCTTCGGTCCCCGTGGGAAGCACACGTGCCGGGAGCCCCATCTATTCCCTGGTGACTCCTCCTCCAGAGTGGGGAGGGGGAGACTTTCTGGCTGGGGATGTGGGACTCTGCTTGGCCCTATCCTTCTGGACAAACATTTGGAGCAGGGTGGGGACATTTCCTCCTGCAGATAAGGCTAGGGCAGGCCTCCCGGGCAGCTGCCTGCAAGGACAGCTGTAGACACAGAGCCTGGCTCCCTGGGCCTGGAGATGCTGCAATTCTTCTGCTGATAATTTAGCCCCAAGCCCCCAAAGATCTTAGGGGCTTACTTAACCCACCTCAGGGACTGTATGATGTTTTCAGACAAAATCCAGCTGGAAAGTCTGTAGCCTTTAAAAAAAAACAACAACCCACAATTTGATGGGCTGCTCTACTTTGCTGTGTTATGAAGGGCTGACCTTGAAGGAGGGGCTGCAGGACAGAGCCCTAACTTGGAGATGAAATTGAACTCGGGTACCTTTTCTAAACGTTTTTGCTTAGGGGTCAATTTGGGAAAAAATCAAAATGTTCACAGGTC